AGAATGCAAACTTAAATTGATTATAGTCTATTATCAATTCGGGTTAAGAAACTAGTGTTGCTTGCATCCTATTTAAAAGGCATTTATTTTTATAATCTACTAAAATGCAACAAAAAAGGGTTTGATTCTATTAATGTTGTCTTTTTTATTGCACTTTGTCAGCAGATTCCTGAGTAGCTTCAGATCTGAGTTGTCTTATTAGTGAGCCTAATTTATACTTTTGTAGCAACACTATTTTTATATAATGGCAAAGAAAGGGTTCAGAGTATTTTCTTTTTTCCTGTGTCATATGTGGCAGCACTGTTCAATGTTTCTTGAAAACATTACCCACTGTAGTATGTGATGTGTGAATAAACTCTGTATCAACAACACTGTTGTGTGACTTCAGTTAAATACTTGTATGTGTGTAGATTAGAAAGAGGTAAGATAAAGGATCTGCAGTATTTTATTAAGTATTAATCGTACAAAGGTCAGTTTTATACAAGTAGAAGTGTGTATTTACCTGGTAGTAGGCTGTCAGTAATGGCTACGCCTCTCTATTTGGACTGGTAGATCTCGGCAGACTGGCAACTTTAAAAGTAGCTCTCGGTTCAAAAAAGGTTGGGCACCCCTGATGTAGATCCTGCTTTACATATTCTAGCGTAAATGTTAAATGTCTCAATATCTCTTTCTGCAGCTTTTCTTATGACATTTTTCCACAGGCCAACAACAGTTTCAAAAAAACTATTTCCCTCAAAAAGAAAACCAAACATGCCCTGTTGTCGTGAGAGAGAAAAAAAGTGCAGAAGGAAACATCCATTGAACTCAGTGTGCTGCTCTGATGCTAGTTCAGATACTTGGCATCTCATCTTGGGTGCAAGGTCATCAATGTTTGGGCTCAGGCTCTGAGCTGAGGAGACCCTCAGGATGGAGTGAAGGTGTGCGTGCAATATACCGGCGGGCCAGATCTAATAGTAATTAGAAATTATCCTGCGGGCCGAAATGAAATCCACCAAGGGCCTGATTTGGCCCCTGGGCCTCGAGTTTGACACATGTGACTTAGGTAATGAATAACAGAAAATACCAGGTTCTTTGCAAAGAAGGTAAGAGAAAATAAATATGTTACGTAAAAGCGATGAGTCAAAAATATTGTTGCAAATTGTTGACCTACACCCTAATAATTAGCCCATTGCGCAATATATGTCAAGAAAAAGCCTAAAATAACACCAATACATTATGAATAGATATCATACTGTGTTAGCCCCTTTAAACCACTGCAGCGCCCTCTACAGGTCAGGCTGAATGCTTATATATAGAGCCTATAATCAGTGAAGTGATCCACAGCTGCTGAGGAAGACAGTCAGGACACTAGTTTGTTAGTATGTTGAAACTGTGTTGCACTATGTGGCTTCTGGTCTCATCTGCATGCTTTCAGGTGAGAATGTAAGCATTCAAAAGTACAAATTGTGCCTAATAATAATAATAATGATTATTCACTCTTTCTTTTCATGCAGTCGTTGGTGGTGTCCCTATAAATGCAACACAGGAGGATACCAGTATGCAACAGGTGGTGTTCAATTGATTATTGTTTTTTTAAAGCATTTGATCAAATATAGAAATGATTAACGAGGAATTCCTTGTTTTTGTAGACAATGTTTCTACGATGTCAGATGTGCAAAAACAAGTTAAACTGTAATTTTATACAAACTGAACATTCTGTTTCTATCTCTATTTGTTTTAAACTATGTTTCACTTAATATTTAATGTACAGGTAGTGTCATTCCCTTAAATGGCACCCAGAATATGACTCATCCTGCAACAGGTGCGTTTATCAGATATTGAATGTCGTGTTTTAAAATGATTAGATTTAACCCTCAGATTTCTCTAGGTGTGTTGGTTTCAATGCTAGAGCCACAGCGATCCAGTTCAGAAACTCTAGAAGGTAAACTTTGAATACATGTGTAAAACAAATCTAGTATTTCATAGATGCAATGTACAGTGACTCGTTTTATCACGTCGTAGGGCTTGAAGATGACGTGTTTGTCCATGAGGGAGACATTTTGATCCCGGTAAGAAGGACAACTTTTATTTTCCACATTTCTTTAGGATGCAATGACATTCCTGGCCAACTGTTTTTATTATTGCAAAACAAAGAATAAAGACTCCTGAGCACCAAGGGGCGAGCCGGCACACTAAGGGAAAGCATTGAAGGGGAAATTAATACAACTAATGCATTAAACTACAAATATTTAAACTAATAGCCTACCAATTCTACCTTTGCCACCACTACTCCCCTCCCCGACTACTTCTTAGAATTATTACAAATAATAATAATAATGCTTTTTTTAAGTCAGGAAGACCTTAAAGGTGGGGTAGGTAATTCACTTCAGAAACACTTGTTATATTCCATGGAATGCTCTTAACATCCCGATAGCAATGAATACATTAAATGCTAATGTCATCAGTGGAAGCCGTGGCGCTGTAAAAAGCACGACCAATCATCTGAGCCGGCCCGGCTAAAGTAACTGGATGGCATACCTGCCTGTCAGCCTTCCATCTGTGCACAAACTCATCTCGTGCCCTCATTGGTCATGTGTGTGTTGGAGGAGGGGCTCTGTGAGGAAGTCTGAAGGAAGAGGCAGATTTTTTCCGGCTGCGTACTTTACCCATGGATGTATAAGACTAAAGACTTTACCTACAACCCCACCTTTTAAGTTGTAAAATTAAGTCTGCAAAATTCTGCAATTGTTGATGGAAATTGGTCTCAAAACTGGTAATTTAAGATGATGAATAACCAGATTTATAAATCCATGGAAGTGTTGAAAGTGTGGCGATAAAACCGAACCGTTGTTGCTGTTTATATTTTCAGGAGGACAGGAATGCCGTGCAGAACCTGTGGTTGGACGCCGTCATGCCGTACACCATCAGTCAGGAACTCAGTGGGTGGATTCTTTATGAACCCGCTCTAATGTTTGACTCATTAGCAACAAGTGATTAGCAACTGTTATGTTTTCACTCCAACAGCTGATCGAGCGTTTGACATCCACGCTGCCTTCAAGATGATCTCAGACGTCACCTGCATTCGCTTCACGCCTCACACCACAGAGCTGAACTACATCGAGTTCCGCAATGGCAAAGGGTGAGAGATGTTACTATTCAACCCAAAACTATTATTATTTCTCTCTTGTCTAGAGGTATTTTTGATTGTGTCTACACTCATAACTATCTAGTAGTAATATAACACTTGTGAACACCTTAAATATATATTTTTTCTTTCACAAAAGAGAGCAAATGAAGCCAAACTCTTTTTGTTTTTTAAGTATTAGAAGTTAAAATACAAGTGTTGCTCTCGTATAAATAGCCTCGACTGAAGGTTATGTATTTGTATTTATTTCAGGGAGTTTCTCCAGTGGATATAGTTCCAATGATAACTGGGAAGATAGATTTTCTTGGGGTGAAAATTGTGCAAATAACTCTCAGAAATAAGGTCCCATGGAGGTCCCCCGGAAAGGGAGGCACTTCGCCTCTCTATACTGCAGCAAGACGTGGATACATTTGGTTTAAAAAGTTTCTTTCTGCATGGCCTTATGTTACCAGAAGTAGGAGAGTAAATACCTTTTCTTGTCTCTGCAGCTGTTCGTCCTACGTTGGATGTGTAGGAGGAGCCCAGACGCTGTACTCCGCCCCCTCGTGCTCTGTGGGTAATGTTTGCCATGAGATCATCCATGCTCTGGGTCTGCACCACGAACACAACCGTAGGGACCGCGACCAGTACATCTCTGTGGAGTGGAGCAACATCATGCCAGGTGAACACCTGGCTGGGAGACATTATCCTGTATTAAGAAAACACAATGAATAGTTTTTCCATTTCGCATATTTTAAACTGCATATGTATTTTTGGGGCAATTCGATGTAGAAGTACGTTGTAAGGTTTTAATGTTTATTTTAGATGATACAAAATCCTTAAAGGCACAGAAATAAAACATAAAATGGTGCTGTAGCTTAGGATGATTAGAACAAACCAACTCCATGTTCTGCAGAAATCAAGGTGTAATGAATAATTCCTGATCTTAAAAAGGGAAACGAAGCAACTTCGAGGTGCAACAAGGAGACACTCAGAACCTGCCGTATGACCTCAACTCCATCATGCACTACGGAGAGTAAGTCTGAACCCATCCTCGTGTATTTCTTCCCCTGCATCACATTTAAAAAGAAAAACGAATAATAATGCCAATACAGGATGAATGAATTATAACTTGGGAAGATCTGTATGTGATAATCCTACACAACTATTTAGTAAATGATCTTTTGTTTCAGGTATTACTTCAGTCAAGATGGCAGTCCGACGGTGTTGTCGAAGAGTAGCGGGGTGCAGATAGGTCAAAGGTCACACCCTCAGTGAGCTGGATGTACTGAGGCTGAACTCACTCTACCACTGTGGTGACGACTAACCAACTGCGCTGCTGTCAAAATATATTACAGACGCATGCATAATCAAAACTGAAGTACAGTTTTTAGTTCATGCAAAGTATTCAAACTTTACTCAGACATGAGGACGCACTGAGCCACGCTGATGTTAACTGACATTAACCATGAGATTAATAAAGTTTTTGAAAATCCTACCCCGCTTGCTCTTTCCTTTTATTGAAAACGTATACCTACAAGCCCTAATGCATATTGTTTATTTTTATAATGGTTAATATACCGCTCTGTGATCAGAAGTAACAATTTGAAAGTGTTTAATTTCTTCATCTTTGAAAGACACTGAAATAAAAATATCAAAACATCTCGGTAATCACAAGTCACAAGAAAGTGCTATTTCACTGGGTGTCCCCCAGGGGTCAGTACTGGGTCCACTCCTATTCATCATATATATCTTCCCCCTGGGCAAAATCCTCCGTCATCATGAGGTTAATTTTCACTGCTACACCGATGACACACAGGTCTACATTTCCTCCAAACCCACCACTGCCCTCCCCCCAACCTCCCTCACCACCTGCCTTGAGGACATCAGGAGCTGGATGAGCAGGAACCTCCTGAAGCTTAACGGTAGCAAAACTGAGGCCCTGCTCATCGGCTCCAAATCCACCCTCACCAATTCACATATCACCCCAGCATCAAACATCATCATCGACGGCTTCCCCATACCATTCGCTGCCCAAGTGAAAAGCCTCGGTGTCATTCTGGACGGCTCCCTCTCATTCGCACCACACATACAAAACAACGCCCGCACCGCCTTCTTTCATCTTCGGAACATCTCCAGACTCCGCTCATCTCTGTCTCAACCCAGCACTGAAATCCTGGTCCACTCATTCGTCACATCCCGGATTGATTACTGCAATGCACTTCTGACTGGCCTTCCCATCAAGCTCCTCAATAGACTGCAAATAATCCAGAACTCTGCTGCCCGGATCATCACCGGCTTCCTGTACGCTACCGTATTGACTACAAAAACATTCTACTCATATACAAAGCTGTCCATAACCTTGCCCCCATCTACATCACTGACCTCCTTCAGGAGTACACCCCCTCCCGCACCCTCCGCTCTTCGTCCGTAGGACTTCTCACCGTCCCAAGCTATCGCCTCAAAACCATGGGTGCTTGAGCTTTCAGCTGCTCGGCTCCCAGACTCTGGAACTCCCTGCCACGACACATCCGACAGTCTGATTCCATAACAACATTCAAAACCCAACTCAAAACCCACCTCTTCAAACTGGCATTTTCTTTATAATCTGTACCCTGTGCCCTTTTGTAGTCAATTTCCTGTTTGTCTTGTCTTACCCCGGCTGATACTTCACTAAATCCACTGTTTTAATTTGTAAGGTAAAATTGTAAATCTGTAACCCTGTAAGGTGTCCTTAGGTGTTATGAAAGGCGCCCCCCAAAATAAATGTATTATATATTATCTTTCTTGTGAAAACCTTTTTTTATATTTTCAGAAAATGTGATCAATTAATCTAATTGAAAGCAAATTGGGGTCACTACTGGAAAGGCCACTTCATGTTTTTTCTTTTACCCAAGTAAGTAATATCCAGAGCTAAAATGCCAACATTTGTTGTACCTTAAACAGTTTTCTAACCCTCATTGGTATCGCCACAATATATTCAAATAACCAATGAAGTGCTAACAGTAGGCTCTGATTGTATCTGACAACCGTGTGTGTTGTAGGAGGAGCTAAAAGCACAGCCTGTGTACTGTACACGTAAGCCATTTGTTCACATGTTCTCGCCTGGGCTTTTGAGAGGGGTCTGCCTGCAGAACTCCACTCTCAGGACAGTTCCGGTGCAGACCTCCACTCTCAGGACAGGAAGTGCACGCTAAGAATTCCAAAATAAAATCACCACTATCAGTACAGTGCCACTTTCCAAACAGGAAATGCACGCAAATACAAAATCAAATCTGATCTTGACGGATCGTGACACTTATTATATACATATGTATATATATATATATATATATATATATATATATATATATATACGGACACCTTGTATTGTAGTTACTATCAGTACAGCCGCAGTGCCAGTGGCGGTTCTAGACCAATTTGACTGGGGGGGCCACTGGGGGGCCAGTTATTTTCTGAGGGGTGCACAATAAATGCAGGACGAAAAAGAGAACTAGACAGTATGAAGTAATTGGGCATAAGAAAACAATGCAATACAGTTATTGGTATTTGTTTCAGTACACTTATTTATTTCAGATAGATCTTATAGTTATTACTGTTAGCTTCAGCTTAAGTTATAGTACCATTTTTGCACTAACACCATATCATATTTATATAAAGATAAAGGCAATGAACAGTTACATCTCTACTTTACATAAGGGTGTCTGCATCCCAGGCTGTTGTTTCCTTCCCAAAATCTCACATTACAGCAACAAAATCTTGCGGTTTTTGGCAAACCGATCAACAAGTTTACAAGAGTACCAGAAAATATACATTTTTAAATCCACAGAAAAGGATTTAATGTAAAAGTCTACAAATCTTAAATGTTGACTTTAAATGAAATAAAATACATGGATATAGATAGAAAATATAGATTTCAGATGTATTATTTCCCATAAGCACAGACACGTAGGCTATTTAACAAACATGAAGACTGAATACAGAATGCACACCTGTTCTGCACGCGCACTAATCAGTTTCGTCTATTCCGTCACATTTCTAATAAACGTGATATCTGGAAAACACACAGATTTACATATTAAAATAAAGGCAATGAACAGTTACATCTCTACTTTACATAAGGGTGTCTGCATCCCAGGCTGTAGTTTCCTTCCCAAAATGTCACATTACAGCAACAAAATCCTGCGGTTTTTGTGATTTTTGGCAAACCGATCAACAAATAAGTCAAGATTCAAAGCCTTTGACCTCCTTGACTCAATACTAAGCAGACCCAGATTGCTCAGTCTCTCATCAGTTATGGTGGATCTGAGAAAAGTTTTGACCAGCTTCAATGTAGAAAAACTATGCTCACAGGAAGCAGAACTGACTGGGATTGCGACTGCTATTTTGCAGAGTCTGAAGAGCTAAAAAAACACTTCTTTATAAGGCTCAATGAACTGAACAAGCTCCACTGTACTATCAGGTCTCTGCATCCCAGTCTTTATTTTCCTATCTAAAATTCTGCTGAACTGATGTAGCTCATGCCCCAAGTCCTCAATATTTGCATCATACAACTGAGCAAATGAAAACAGAGTTGTCTCCTTCAGAAATGCATTACTTTGGGGTTAAGAGCTTGGATGCTATTCATCATGTCACAGTTTGTGTTTGAAAACCGTCTATTAAGCTCATTGAGCATCTGATCAATGACAGGGTAGAAAAAGGCTGTACGAAACCCGTGTTTATCTTGTTCTGTCTCTCTCTGTCCAACAGTAGTCAGTACGAAGCTTTCAGCAAGTTTAGAGCTCAGTCGTTTTTGTCGTTTTGCTGCTGGCTGTATTGCAGTATCACATTGCTCAGAAATGTTCAACACAAGTTATCAAAAAATGACTCCTGCCTGAAGTCATTCAATGTCTGAACTAAAGATCCAACTAAATCCACAGCCTTTGAAAGGTCAAGGGATGAAGACTGTAACATGTCAGAGAGAAATGTTGTTTCTGCAAACACTTTACGGAGTGTTACAAGATGCACAATGAATTCTAGATCCAACTGTGCCAGCAGACCACGTGCCTCAATAGATCTCTCACCATTGCGTTCTTGGGCTATGTCTTGCAGTACTCGCTTGAGGGCCGGTAATCTATCCATAATGTTAATGTTTCCATTATGCTACAATGATGGGGAGTTGTCTTTTCTCTTACTGTGCCACAGAACAACACAAACACTTGTATTTGTATTGTTATTATTTTTAAAGTAAAGTAACTTGTTACTAGTTACTTTTATAATTTAGTAACTAATAAAGTAACTAGTGACTTGTTGAGAGCAGTAACTATAACTATTACTAGTTACTTTTTTTAAAGTAACTTGCCCAACACTGCTAATAAATCATCATTTTTTCCACATTTCATTTTTAGGGAGGCACTGCCCCCCCCTGGCCCCCCTAGAACCGCCCCTGCGCAGCGCCACTTTCCGAACAGGAAATGCACGCAAATACAAAATAACATCGTACTGACACTTATTATCTATATAGATATATATTTATTTATATATATAAATTAGGGCCGGGACTCGATTAAAAAAATTAATCTAATTAATTAGAGGCTTTGTAATTAATTAATCGAAATTAATCGCATTTTTAATCGCATATACATATTTGACCTAAGAACAGTGAGAAGCAATTTTTTTTCACATGGATTTTAGTATACCATTAGGCGCATTCACACCGCAGTACTTTTCCCACAAAAGTTCATGAGAATTTAGTTCATGAGAACTCTTTGAATCTGGGGGTGGATTAGGCAAATGAAGCCGCTGACGTCACTTCTTCTTCTTCTGCTTTGGGTTTACTAGCAGGCCGCAAACCACTTCACGGCGTATACTGCCGCCCAAAGTCCCCGGCCGGAAGTCCCCGGAGTTGGGGACTGGCTTCAGTAGAAGCTGCTGGGAGTCCCAGCAGCCTTCCGAGTAAATCGCCAGAACGCCGACACCTCCTCATCTCCACCGCTTCCATGTTTTATTTTGTGTTGCCATAAGTTAGTCTCTCTGCGTTTCTGCGCTGGGCTAATGCTAATAATGCTAATGCGAGGATAATAAAATGGCGGCTTCACAAAACTTTTTGCGAGTTTTACGGGGCGTGGTTTGCAATCCGCCCAGCCAATCAGAAATATAGCTCTTTTCTCACAAGAGAGCCGTACGAAAGTCCCTGCTCTCTAGCAGCTCTCTGCTCTCTAGCAGGGACTTTCGTGGGGGTAAAAAGGTTCTCATGAACTAATTTTAGTACCGGCTCTTTTGGTGTGAAATAGATAAAAGAGGCTAACGTCCACGCTAGCTTCCACGCTAGCTGCTATATGTTTTGCATTGAGGTGATACTTGAGGCTTGATGTGCTGCGGTGATATGCGAATTCCTTTTTGCATAATTTGCACACAACCGTGCTCTTATCGACGCTTCCACCCGTCCGTTTTTTAAACAACATTTCCCACTGTTGTTCACTGTGGTTTGTTGTTGTCTGAAGTCATGAACGTTAGTTGGTGCTCCAGTATAATCGGTACGCCTGAAACTCATCCAGTGAGAAACGTTCCGCGGTGCAAAAATAAGTGCGATTAAAATGCGTTAATTTTTTTAACGCGTTAATTTTTGTGTAATTAATTAATCTTAATTAACGCGTTAAAGTCCCGGCCCTAATATAAATACGACATCTTGTATTTTAGTTACACCCGCTAGACAACAGTGGAAGGTTCGAGAAACAACCGTGTTTGCCGGGTGCACCGCGGCGGAGGTGGGGAGGTTCCAGCTGGGAACCTTCACCCCTGCGGGACCCGTGGGACCCCTGTACGGTTTGTCTTGGTCACGCTTCATATCGGCCGGCCCGGGAAGGAAGAGACACGCAGAGTGGGGGAAGTCCCCCACCCCAACGCAGCACACCCTCCCGGCCATCAGAGTCGAACCCGCAGTTCGGAGGAACCGACCGCCAGAGCACCGGCACATAGGCCGGGCCGGGGTGGAGGCCCTCCGACAGTGGGTCGCGTTTGCCATTCGATCAGTGAGAGGAGAGGAGAAAATGCAACAAAAATGGTCAAAATCCGTTAATATATGGATGTGGGGGGGGGGGGGGAAACGCGTCAGAATCGTCACTTCCTGTACTGACAGTGGAGGTGTCCTGAGAGTGGAGGTCTGCACCGGAACTGTCCTGAGAGTGGAGGTCTTCAGGCAGGCTCCCATGGGGCTTTTTAAAAAAGAAAAATGCTATTAAAATATGAACCTTGGTGACCATCGGGCTGGCCTGCATGGTCTGCCTACAAAACACATTTTTCTTTTAAATAAAAAAAATATATATGCATGGATTGGATGCATATAGGCCTACTAGATAATAATCTCTCACTCCTAAAACATCTAAATCTACTTCCAGCTTGGATAATTGTTCATAAAATACATCCATTGTTTGTTCTATACGCTTCTTGAAGTCCTAAAAACACAGTTTTCTAGAACGGATTACAAATCGCCTGAAAATGGTACAAACAAGTGGCAACGTGTGACGAAGGTGTTGCGCTGGGCTATATCATGCAATCGAAAGTGAAATTTAAACTCGCTCCATCGCGGAGATATTCCCGCAATATTTACTACCCCCCCCCCCCCCAGTTGACAGGGGTCGCCAGTCACGAGCACTGTTATTCTGGGGGTCGCGGGCTGAAAAGTTTGGGAACCCCTGCAATAAAGCTTCTTATACCATCACTTCATTTACCTGCCAGAAACGATAGACTATGATGTAGTTAGCAATCAAAGGTAAGACTAATCAAGTTGTTTATTTTGTATTTGAGAAATGGAAAGATCCTGCTTTACATATTCTAGCGAAAATGTTAAATGTCAATATTAGTGTAGACAAGCCCGTTATATAACATATTTCTTTATCTGTGTTTATAAGACGCTAACTTTACTAGTATGTGTGTATGTATTCATCTTAAGTGAAATGCAGATATTTTTATATCCTTTCAGACCTTTTTTAGGATAATAAAAGTTGTTCTCATGTATTTGTAAGTGACACCCTCTCTGTGCTGGTGGGTATCAAAGTGTCGGGTTTATTTGGGCATCTCAGATTTACCACAGCTCACAAGGTGCTTGGACCAGCCTGTGGACGAACTGTTAGTCTGCATCTTCTTAAAGCGGTACGTGGCTCCACATTATTGCTTTTGGCCTTTTTAGTATTCTTTTAATCTCTTTGCATCTCTGTACTTGGAGTCTATATTTGTTAGCATTTTGGCAAACTGGTGCTATGAATAGTTTGTCAGATTAGCTGCTACTGTCTGTTGGTGCACGGACAACTACTGGATTATTTAAAACAAGTTGTAGCGTCTCGGTTCCCACTTTTATAAATAGATTATTTCATGTTTATTCATGAAGGACCCCATGAGATAAGGATTTAAACTGAATAATTTTTGTGTTTATGTCAAAGACAGTTTTTGAGAGATTTGATCTGATATTTGAGTTCATTTCACACATTCCTCCAAATAAAGTCAGAATTCTCTGATAATATGCTCCACGTTCCTCCTCTGTATACCTCCTGTTTATCTATCTGCTTTTAATCTAGAGTTTACGATGCTGTATGGAGGCATCGCTGGTGTTCAGACTCCATGAGCGAGGTCCAGAGGTGGTGAGGGAGGTGCTCTTGGAGCGAGGATGGGAGGAATATGATGAGGAGGAACGGGAGGAAGAGGACTGGAACTTGTACTGGAGAGGATCTGCGTTTCGCAACTCAGAATATCTCAACCTAATGCCATGGCAGCGCCTCAACCACCATCCCAAGACTGTCGGGATCACACGCAAGGTGAGGACGCTCTGAAATGTGGTGTTAAATGTGTGTTTTAAAAGAATGCAGAGATGTTAGTGCTATTATATATGATACATTGATACATGAATCATCAGTGTTACTGTTTGTGCTTTTTGTCACACGGTGTGTCACAACTTTCAGTATGGTTATGGAGTTTGTACCAGATCTCAACCAATGCAATCTGTACTTTCTGAAGAAATAAAAAAGCCTTTGTAGACCATTCACATGCACAACAACCTATACAACACACTAGAAAAAGCTTAACAAGGCCTCTTACAGTTAAAATAACCCCTCTCCTTTAGGACTGTTTGGCACGCAACCTGAGGAGAATGAGAACCACGTTCGGTTCGTCTCTCTACGACTTCAGTCCCACCGCCTTCATCCTGCCCAACGACTACACTCGCTTCCTGTCCGAGTACAACAAAGTGACCAGAGGACCGTCGGCCTGTTGGATCTGTAAGCCTGTGGATCTCTCCAGAGGCCGAGGCATCTTCATCTTCGAGGATATGAGGGAGTTAGTCTACGACTGCCCTGTGATCGTACAGCGCTACATCAGCAACCCTCTGCTCATCTCCGGCTACAAGTTCGACCTGAGGATCTACGTCTGTGTGAAGAGCTTCCATCCACTCACGGTTTACATTCACCAGGAAGGTCTGGTGCGCTTTGCCACCGAGAAGTACAACCTGTCATCTCTGCACAACCTGTACGCTCATCTCACCAACACCAGCATCAATAAGTTCAGCCCCTTCTACAAGTCGGAGAAGGAGAGTGTGGGCCGAGGCTGCAAGTGGACCATGAGCAAGTTCAGGCACTTCCTCCAGAGCCAAGACATCAACGAGCTCCTTTTGTGGCAGAGGATCAATAACATCGTGACTCTGACGCTCCTCACCATCGCTCCCACCGCCCCTTCCTGTCCGAACTGCGTGGAGCTGTTGGGGTTCGACATCCTGATCGATGCAGAGTTCAAACCGTGGCTTCTGGAGGTGAACTACAGCCCCGCGCTGACTCTGGACTGCCAAGCTGATATCACGGTGAAGAGAGGGCTCATTGGCGATCTGATTGATTTGATGAATTATAAATTGACTGACAGCTTGAGAGAGAGGGCGTTTCAGAGACAAGGGTACAACAAACCTTGTATCCATGCCCAACACGCCTCACCGGTTTCAATACCTTCAATAACCAAATATCAGAAGCGAAGAAACCAATCTTTACAGACTCTCCCTAAGATAAAAACTCATCACCACCCTGAACAAATCAACCAAAGACAACATGCTTTTGCAGCGGTTTACCAAAGACACCTTCCCCCTGTTCACCTAAACAAGAAGTATGCATCCAAAGTAGTGGCAGCCAACAAATCCGACACCGATGACAGGACCACAAACCTGATCCTCGGCCCACAGTCGAGACCAGACGTGTCAGTGGTGAACAGACAGACGTGGCCAGATCGTGCCCCGTGGCTGACAGACAACAGGAGTCTTCGTGTGTCTGAGGTTACAAACTACGACGACACTGAAACAGAAGCCGAGGCGGACGTTTCCTCTTCGTTACCCGAGATCCCACACAGGGGGCTTGGATTCAGACGGGAAAAGCTCCCAGACATTTACAGGTAAATACAATACTAGTGTGTCGTCTGTGAGTTTGTAAAAATAGAAAAAAAGCATTGTTTTTGTATGGATTAATGAATGAGTACAAATGCTTCCCCCTGACCTTCAGATAAACAAAGAGATGCATACCAGCTAAGAAGAGAATACAATTACCACAAAGACACAAAGAAATCACAAAAACAAAATGTAAACGGCTGCAAGGAGACACAGAGACTGACATTGACTTTGAAAAGGGGTAAATTAACACCTAAAACGTTCAGACACCTTTTTGAAGACCAAAACAACTACAACAGTGACATTCAAAACCAAGACAAAGAGATACTAAACAGTTTCAATAAGACACAGAGACTCACAATGATATACCACACACACAAAATGACTACAGACCAAAAAGTAACAACTAAACCTATTACAACGACTCAAACTAAATGACTTTGAATCCACCGAAACAGCTGCAAAGAGACTTAAAACCACTGTTTTGTCAGAACCAGAGAATGGCAATTCAAAATCTGGCTCCAGTCCAGCAGATGGTGACAGGGGGCCTAAGATCTGTGGCTCAAAGAAGAATTGAGTCTCCATGGCCCCGTCTCTGGTCGGTTAAATGAAATCCTTGCTTCCCTCACTTGCGTCTAGTCCTTCCCTCCAGGGAAGCATGGAAATCACGAGAAGCAGGGAAATTCGTTTTAAGAGCAATGGGACGTCCTTTCTTCCGGAGCGTCACGTGAAGCGACGTCCGTTTGTGATGACGCCGCACAGCTGATGTCTGACAGCAGCCAGATCTGTCCCCGTTATTTTCACACACACCCCCCCCCCCCCACCTCTGTTAGTACACATTTACTGGCATATAATTGTATCATCTGTTGTAGACCCAATAAATAAAATAGAATAAGAACTCATTCTCAAAAAAGATAAACGCCATTCTTAAAATATATAAACGAAAAAAGCGATCATGAAAATGTTTCCAATAAATGAATAAAATGATTTTTGACCACTTTGTTGTTCAGATATATCACATATTTGTAACTAAATGATACATTAATTGAAACAAAACACGGTATAAACTGAGGAGTGACTCCCGTGAGGTTCATGTATTTTCTTCACTCTGCTCTCATGTCAAGAAGCATCAGATCAGTGAATGCACTGCATCGTCCAATCAGTGAGCGATACACAGTAAGGGGGCGGGGCGAGTGTCTGAGGATTTCATCGGAGGATGGTCTGGTGCAGCGCCGGTCTGGTGGTTCCTCGGTTATCGCTCCTCTGGCAGAAATAAGCGCCATGGGACGGTACTCAAGATGGCGCAGACAAATCAACTTCCGGTGAGACCGAGGAGCGAGGAAATGAAAATAACCGACCTGAGAAGCAGCCAAAGTGAGTAACAGAGAGGAAACGAGACTCAAGGATTCACCCAAAGACACTGCTGGTAATATATTTGTAAATGTATCTGTTTGAAGACATGTTTGATTAAATTAATTATTATTTCTAGTTAGTCTTAAGTATTAAGCTAACATATAAGAAGCTGGAATTAAATTTACTTTGTTGAGATGAATTTACTTTGGATGAAATGTTAAATTAATTGTCACTTGATTACATTTAAAACCATAGAGGAGAAGTTAAAGTGCTAAACATTGAAATGTTTATTTGCCTAAAGTTAATGAAAGTGTGTTTTTGTGATGCAACAGGAAGCTAAATGAAGGCTGAATAAATCTACAATAACTCAAATAAAGAGGAAAGATTCAAATTTGATTTGTCCCGTGTTTCCTTTTGGAGTGAACCAAGCCATTTCCGAGTTTAGGCCGGAGTCAATCGAGCAAACCAAATCACAACTTGACAACCACTATGGAAAGGGAAAAAACACAACATGACGAATAAACAACAAAAAAGTGACACAAAACAACAACAACAAAAGAGGGTAGCTAAAATAAATCTGTGTGTCCTGCTCCTATGTAGTGTATATATTAGGGCTGTCAGTCGATTAAAATAGTTAATCGCGATTAATCGCAAATTAATCGCACATTTTTTATCTGTTCTAAATGTACCTTAGAGGAATATTTTTCAAGTTTGTAATACTCTTATCAACATATGAGTGGACAAATATGCTTTATGCAAATGTTTATTATCATTTGAACAATGACAAATATTCTCATGAATATTAAACACAACAACATTACAAATATTCGCCTCAATTCAACCTGGAACCTCTCTCATACAATACAAAGTGTGTGTGTGTGTGTGTGTGTGTGTGTGTGTGTGTGTGTGTGTGTGTGTGTGTGTGTGTGTGTGTGTGTGTGTGTGTGTGTGATGGATCGTTGGAGCTATGTGCAACTCAGGCATATGCTCGAACGGGAGCTGCCTGGACGCTGCAATCATGTTGCGCACTATCCGTGCTGAGTGTGCTGACTTTTCGTACAATGTCCCACTGTCTGGCTTCCTGCATAAAGTCAAGTGCTCGGCGCAGTTGTGGCGAAATGTCGCTCCTCTGTTTTCATTTAAACAGCTCCTTATATCCGTTTGCGCAGCTAGCTAGCACCAGATGCTAACAACAACAATGCACGTAAGGTATCTCTCTCGCTCGCTCGGGCCACACATACACACACCCTCCCGGTCCTCCCAACAGCCAGTCGGTGCCTGCCGGTGAGCGTGGAAGTGTGGTCTGCTGCAAGCGGGCGGCAGGAGCGGGGCTGTCAGCATCAGCTTGTAGATGGTATTTTAAACTCGATGCGCTCTGAAACTACGGGGCGGCCGAGGACAAAAAATACACATGCGTTAATCGCGTTAAAATAATTAGTGGCGTTAATTTTTTTTTGCGTTAACGCGTTAACTTGACAGCCCTAGTAGTACAAGCTCAGTTTATTACTAATTATTCCCTCCAGTAAATATTTGTTTCTGAATTCACAAGACATTTTGATCAAGTATGCAGGAATGTATGTCATTATTATCATCGTGTAATTCTTGTTTTCATTCCCTTACCCACATTAGTGACCCAATTCCAACCATTCATTCAGACAACAAACACGTGTTGTGATTGTTTCACAGTGGGATTCGGAGAGTAAGAAAAGAGAGGCCGGCAGCACTGAACCGACAACACGTTACTCCGCTCAGAGTCGGAGACTTTATCCGGACGTTCCCGTTCAACGCAGCCACTCTGAAGGCCTCGCAGCACACACCGGATGTTAAACAAGTGATGTATGAGCTGCACAAGCTCACTGCTCAGCTGGCTTCAAGAAAGAAGTTGAAGAGACGAGAGGAGGAGGAGGAGAGAGATGGTGAAGAAGACTTTGATTCTCTGTTGTGGGGGCCGAAGGATCCTCCATTGCTCAGTCATTGTGTTAAACCCTTTTAGAGGTGCATTTCTTTCTTTCAGACTCTGATGCAAAGCTTGATTCCTTACTTTCTAATAAAAGGGAAATGTAAACATCACTTTTCCCGGGAAGAATGGTTTGAGAATTCTGCTAACAGCTGTTCAAAGTAATGAATTGTACATCACTTGTACGCACACACACACACACACACACACACACACACACACACACACACACACACACACACACACACACACACACACACACACACACACACACACACACACACGAACGATATTAATTAAATATGATTATTTGTATGAAATATGTTCCTCTGTACCCTTAAAAAAAAAGCTTGAATACTTGATTGATATGAATTTGAATACAGTTTTTTCCACACATGGTGGTTACCAGTGGCGTTTTTATATGTACAAAAGTGGTGGGGCACAAAAAACTTAGATGTCTATAGCTTCTGCAGTGAGGTTCATGGCTGGTGAGGCTCTGACTCTTCAGGTTTACAAATATTATATTTTGACCTAAATCAAAATATAATATTATTTTCAAAAGCTTTTTTTAGTCTGATGCTTCAATTAATTTTAAACAGACAGTTCAACAGAAGGATACCCAAAAAATGTAATTGTATCATTTAAATATTGAATTGTTCTCTCTTAGTAAGATCCCATTTTCAATAAAATTGCAGTCTTTCCTTGACTTGAAGATGAAGTCCATTTGCCTATCCTTCTGGACAAAAATCTCTTACTTTTTTGTAAAAGTCCTCCTTATGTTCTTGTAGTTTCAAAAGTCTATCATAAATCTGATCTAATCAATAGATTTATGATTCGAAAATTATAAAAGTAGGGTAGACATGTGGATATTATCCGGCTGAACAAAACGTGCATTTATCTAACAGGTTTGTTTCCCACAGACCTTATTTGGAGCTATTTTCTAAAATCCTATGGAGAAATTTCATTGCTTTTTTGTCGAGGGAAGCCATGCACAGCTTACTTCCGGGTTTTAGGACGCGTCTCTCTCCTCCTCTTCACACACCACACTTTTCGCGGCACACGTACTTACAGCCAATCAGCTCTGAATGATGTGAGATGACGTATGGTGGGGATGGCAGCTCTATGCCCCTATGGTCATTATTTTTTTTGCCACACACATTAAATAGGAAAATATTCTGAGCATGCGCAGTGTAGTGTTTACAGTCACCATTGACTTAAACAGGGAGAGGGAGGGGCAGGATCGGGTTTTGTCCCACATGGCTCAAAACAGCTCAATAGGCACACACTGTAGACACTAATTAGAAGAACACAGACTAAAACAGCAATGTACAGACGAATCAGATGATTAAACATGATCTTAAAATATATTTTATATATTTTTTAATTTATTTTTTGCATTTTGTTGTAATCATTATTTTTAATATTTTCTGCTAACACTAGGTGGGGCTGTGCCCCACCTGCCCCTAATGACCAGTCGCCACTGGTGGTTAACCTTTGGCAGTGCCAGGTTTGGCGCAGGCAGCATATCGACTGCATGAACCTGTAATGAGATCAGTCAGGGCTTTGACACCATCTTTTGTCCGTCTTCATTGCCGGGATGCTTAAAGGACACTTAACAGTGTATTAAATACTTCTATTTTAAGTGTTTGAAGCCACTGAGAATCTGGATGAATAATTCTGTTGAAAAACATTTAAATATTAAGTGAAGTGATGGAATAGATTTTTTCCAACATGTACAAAAATATATCAAATGTACGCAGGAGGAAGTAATTATTTCGATCATGTCTTATACCACATTTTTACATTTGATCAATGCATACAAATTCAGCCCTTGTGTTTGCCATTCACGCCTTGATCAACTTAAAGGAAAATAAAGCTTTCCAAACAAAACAGCACTTCAAAAATAATACAATAAAATAGATTTTCCCCTCCATTCAATGTTGTTTTTTAAATTGTGTTTCCATATGAATTCCTTACGTGCCTAAGATATTACACCGTCTGCTACATGATTTGTGACTAAAGATAAGATCATACAGTGTGTTTTACCTCCGACTGTCCCTCCAGGCTGTGTGCAGAACATCTTCTGTCCTCTAGACGGCGCTGTGGTGGGACTGAGTTTCTTCCTCAGAGCCTCGTTCAACTTCAGACCAATCAGCATCTCCTGCTACCTGAGGGCCTGTACACCCCCCCCCCCCCCACACACACACACACACACACACACACACACACACACACACACACAGTTGGTGACTCATGTGTTGACTTGAAGTGGGAGTATGTTTGTAAATGTTTGCTCAGATTTACGCCCTGTTGTGTTTAACAGTTCTGCATCAGACCTGATGGATGTGGCTCAGGGGGGAATTATGTTTCTAGTAATCATACCGTAACCGGTTTGATCCCGACCCCTGCAGTCAACAAGTGTCCCTGGCTGAGATACTTAATAGCTTTAAAGCATTTGCTAAATAACATGTGGTAATAATTAGTCTCAGATACCAGGAAGTAGCTTCAAGGTATACGTCAAGATTGAAAGTGAAAACATGTTCATCCTAAACCATGCCATCCTGATAAACTATTTAAATACAATTTTCATATTTAACATGTCATAATGAAACCTTTTAATCTTACTTATCACTACATTTGGGTGGGTCAACATTCAAGATTATGGTATTATATAATACCATTATGTATTTAACATGCCACATAACTTTCTCTCACATGAATGTAATCTGATTCAATTGTCTCTCATCACATGATGGTCTTGAGACAAAAACCAACCACACAATTCACAGCATCCTGTTGTTGGTTTGAATGTCTTACTGACCATAATAGTCACTATTCTCACAGTCCTCTTTGATAATGTGTTTATCACGTGCAGGGCCATCATTATGTCAGCTCTCTTTTGTAGTTCTCCACTATATTTTAGACTATTGCTTCACTTCTGTGTTTTTATTCTTATGTTTCTAGCCTTGATTTATGTGTGTATAGTTTATTTGTATGTGTAAAATAAGTTACATGATGCTTACATGTCCCTTCATCAAAGAGAACAGGTTCTACACATTTCTGATCTAAAGAAAAAGCTGAGTCAGTCTAAAATGATATGAACATCTGTTTAGACTACTGTTGCTTTGTTATTCTATAATGGAACATTATACAATGAACCAGAGGAGTTAACAAAGCTGGGATTAAATGATGTCTGGTAAATATAGTCTGGGTAAGTGAGGCCATTTATAATTGTTCAAACAGCGTGCCACCTTCTCAAGTTGCTAAAACAACATCTGACTGCAATAGCCTTTGTTTCTCGGTGTTTACAGAACCAATGTTTGCACAGCACTCAGTAGGAATGTTAATGGAGACATATTCTTCTCATGTTCAGGTGTATATCAGTATGTAGTGTCTCTACTTTAAAGAGTCCTCTCCTGCTGATGTTCAGGTGTATATCAGTATGTAGTGTCTCTACTTTAAAGAGTCCTCTCCTGCTGATGTTCAGGTGTATATCAGTATGTGGTGTCTCTACTTTAAAGAGTCCTCTCCTGCTGATGTTCAGGTGTATATCAGTATGTGGTGTCTCTACTTTAAAGAGTCCTCTCCTGCTGATGTTCAGGTGTATATCAGTATGTAGTGTCTCTACTTTAAAGAGTCCTCTCCTGCTGATGTTCAAGTGTATATCAGTATGTAGTGTCTCTACTTTAAAGAGTCCTCTCCTGCTGATGTTCAGGTGTATATCAGTATGTAGTGTATCTACTTTAAAGAGTCCTCTCCTGCTGATGTTCAAGTGTATATCAGTATGTAGTGTCTCTACTTTAAAGAGTCCTCTCCTGCTGATGTTCAGGTGTATATCAGTATGTAGTGTCTCTACTTTAAAGAGTCCTCTCCTGCTGATGTTCAGGTGTATATCAGTATGTAGTGTCTCTACTTTAAAGAGTCCTCTCCTGCTGATGTTCAGGTGTATATCAGTATGTAGTGTCTCTACTTTAAAGAGTCCTCTCCTGCTGATGTTCAGGTGTATATCAGTATGTAGTGTCTCTACTTTAAAGAGTCCTCTCCTGCTGATGTTCAGGTGTATATCAGTATGTAGTGTCTCTACTTTAAAGAGTCCTCTCCTGCTGATGTTCAGGTGTATATCAGTATGTAGTGTCTCTTCTTTAAAGAGTCCTCTCCTGCTGATGTTCAGGTGTATATCAGTATGTAGTGTCTCTACTTTAAAGAGTCATCTCCTGCTGATGTTCAGGTGTATATCAGTATGTAGTGTCTCTACTTTAAAGAGTCCTCTCCTGCTGATGTTCAGGTGTATATCAGTATGTAGTATCTCTACTTTAAAGAGTCCTCTCCTGCTTATGTTCAGGTGTATATCAGTATGTAGTGTCTCTACTTTAAAGAGTCCTCTCCTGCTGATGTTCAGGTGTATATCAGTATGTAGTGTCTCTACTTTAAAGAGTCCTGTCCTGCTGATGTTCAGGTGTATATCAGTATGTAGTGTCTCTACTTTAAAGAGTCCTCTCCTGCTGATGTGCAGGTGTATATCAGTATGTAGTGTCTCTACTTTAAAGAGTCCTCTCCTGATGATGTTCAGGTGTATATCAGTATGTAGTGTCTCTACTTTAAAAGAGTCCTCTCCTGCTGATGTTCAGGTGTATATCAGTATGTAGTGTCTCTACTTTAAAGAGTCCTCTCCTGCTGATGTTCAGGTGTATATCAGTATGTAGTGTATCTACTTTAAAGAGTCCTCTCCTGCTGATGTTCAGGTGTATATCAGTATGTAGTGTCTCTACTTTAAAGAGTCCTCTCCTGCTGATGTTCAGGTGTATATCAGTATGTAGTGTCTCTACTTTAAAGAGTCCTCTCCTGCTGATGTTCAGGTGTATATCAGTATGTAGTGTCTCTACTTTAAAGAGTCCTCTCCTGCTGATGTTCAGGTGTATATCAGTATGTAGTGTCTCTACTTTAAAGAGTCCTCTCCTGCTGATGTTCAAGTGTATATCAGTATGTAGTGTCTCTACTTTAAAGAGTCCTCTCCTGCTGATGTTCAAGTGTATATCAGTATGTAGTGTCTCTACTTTAAAGAGTCC